AAAAAAAAAAACTGCAACCCCCATTACAACCATATTTAATGTTGATAGACTATAAGCGAAACGAAACAGATCAAAAGTAAAAAAAAAAACAGAAACAAAACCCCGTGTAAATGAAATTGTAACACACGAGCGATCGTCCGTGCCCTGCAACAGGATAACAACGAATAAATCGCGCCCTCGTATAAACACACACACACACACATCCCCCAATGTAATCGCAACGGAGCATGAAAGCAAAGATGCCCGCCATATAGGTACAGGGTGGGTGCAAGATAAAACAGCAGCAGCAGCAAAGAGTCGAAGAGGAGGCAGCTACAAAAGGAGGAGGGGCACACGGGCACAGCGAGAAATAAAAATTCCGGAAGAAACAAAAAAAATCTCCCCAGCGAGAGAGAGAGAGAGAGAGAGAGATAAAAAGTCATAGATAAACAAATGGATAAGGAGGCCTGGGCCCCCACCCCCTCTCTCTTCGAGGGCGCAGTAAATAGAAAGGGAAAAAACAAAAGAGGGACCGAGATATACATATATATATGCATGCATCCGTACGTAACCCCCTGTACACACGTACATCGATATGCAGAAGGAAACTGAGAGGGAAAGAAATAATGGTAATATTAATAATAAAGATGACAATAATGACGATGATGATTACAATAAAGACGGCAATGATGATAATAATAATGATAATGATTATAAGAATAATAATATTCATGAAGATGCTAATGATGATAATGTTAATAATAATTATGATAAAAGTAACCATAACAATGATAGAAATGATAATTATAACGACGACAACGATGACGATGACTCTGACGTCAATGTCGACGACGACAACATTAACATCGATGACGACGACCCTATGTTAATAATGATGACGATAATAATGATAATAATGAGAAAATGATAATGATAATAATCATAAAAATACTGACGATAATGATGACAACAATAATAATAATGATGATAATGATAATAATGATAATGATGATACTAATAATAATGATGATGCTTATGATGATAATGATAGTGATGATGAGGTAATGATTATAATAATGATAATAATGATGATGATGATAATGAGGATGATGATTATAATGATGATCATGATGATGATGATGATAATGATAATGATAATGATAATCATAATGATGATGACGATAATGATAATAAAAATAATAACAATAATGATGTGTATAATGATAATGATTAAGATGATAATTATCATTATGATAATGATTATAATCATAATACTAAGAATAATAATAGTATAAATGGAAAAAATAATATCCATTACAATAATAACAATAGTAATAACAATCATGACATTAATTTAATTAATGATAATAATGATGATGATATTAGTAATAATAAAAAAAAAGATAATAATCGAGACGATAATGATAATTATAATAATAATAACGATGATAATGATGATGATAATGATGAGAATAATAATGATAATGATGATGGTGATAATGATGATAATGATGGAAATGATGATGACAATAATGACGATAATGATGATGATGATGATGATGATGATGATAATGATGATGATGATAGTGGTGATGATAATAATAATAATAATAATAATAATAAGAATTATAATGATGACGATGATGATGATAATAATAATGATAATGATGATGATGATGATGATAGTAGTGATAATAATAAGAATGATAATGGTGATAATAATAATGATGATGATGATGATGATGATAAAAATGATAATTATGGTGATAATGATGAT